CCTCGGCCTCCCAGAGTGCTAGGATTACAGGCGTGAGCCACCGCGCCTGGCCAACATTATTTTTAATAGCTACAAAATAGTCTATCATATTAATGTACTTTGCTTAATGATATACCCATTGTTGAACGTGGAGTTTGTTTCTATTTGTTTTTTCTCTTTCAGGTGTATCTGTCATGTACAGACCTTGTCAGCCTGTGACTGCAAAATGAAGTCACGTTTACTTTTGCTTTGGCTTCTTGTAATGATTTCAAGCCCCAATTTACCAAATTGAAGAAATTTAACCCTGCAAAAATATCTCCCCATTTTTTTCTGAGACCACCCAAGGGGGGCTCAGATTTGTTCAAGAAGAGGTCTGCCAACATACAGAATAGAAGAAAACATTTGCAAATTATTCATCTGACAGGGAACTAATATTCAGAATACACAAGGAACCGAAGCCTTCAACAGCAAAAAAGCAAACAATCTAATTTAAAAAATGGGCAAATGATCTGAACAGACATTTCTCAAAAGCAGACATACAAATAGCCAATAGACATATGAAAAAATGCTCAATATCACTAATCATCAGGGAAGTGTAAATCAAAGTCACAATGAGGTATCACCTTCCCCCAGTCAGGACGGCTATTATCAAAAAGACAATAAATGCTGCTGAGAATGTGGAAAAAAAGGAACTCATATACACTGTTGCTGGGAATGCAAACTAGTATAGCCACTATGGAGAATGGTATGAAGGTCCCTCAAAAAATTACAAATAGAACTACCACATGATACAGCAATCCCACTATGAGAATTTATCCAGAGGAAAGGACATCATTATATTGGAGAGGCATCTGCATCCCCTTGTTTGTTGCAGCCTTATTCACAATAGCCAGCAGATGAATGGATAAAGAAGATGTGGTACATACACACTGTGGAATAATATTTAGCCATAAAGAAGAATGAAGTCCTGTCATTTGCAGCAACATGGATGGAAGTGGAGGACCTTATGTAAGTAAAAAGTAGCACAGAGGATACTAGCGAATGGGAAGGGTAGGGGGAAGGAGGGACAGGGAGAGATTTGTTACGGGATACAAAATTACAGCTCAATGGGAGGAATAAATTCTAGTGTTCTATACCACTGTAGGATGACTAGAGTTGACAATAATATGTTGTACAGTTTCAAATAGATAGAAGGAAGATACTGAATATTTTCAACACAAAGAAATGATAAATGTCTGAGATGGTGGATATGCTAATTACCCTAATCTGGTCACTATACATTACATGTATCGAAACATCACTATGCATGCCACAAATCTGTACAACTATTTGTCAATTTAAAAAGTTAAATTAAAAAAAGAAGAGGCGTGTTAACGTTCTTTTGCTCCATCACGCAAGTGCCACACCACTCCTCCCCTCGTCGCTTGGCTCCAGGTCTCTGTTCCTTGGGGCTCTGCCGCTGCAGATTGGATGCTGGTAAGAGAGCGGGAGGGTGGGTGGAGCAGGGGATGTTAAACCTTCCTTTCTTGCTACCACATCCCTAACATGGAATGGATTCTTCCCTCGACTTCCCCATCAATAATTTACTAAAGATTTAAGAAATAGAGGATAACTTACAATGACGAGTGGATGTAGCTTTTCTGAGATACCAGAGACCCAGAAATATCTTCAATATCCTATATAGGATGCCTCTTTGTCTGGCTTCTTTCCTGTCCCAGTGTGGCAGGGGCTAGCTCATCCCACCACTGAAAGTTCTCTAAGCACTTCTATTCCTAAGAATCCAAGTCCAGCTTCCAAGTAACCAAGAGAGAAGAAATTATGTACCAATGTATCAAGTGTATCCCAGTCTAATACCTGCCTTTTAAGTTTCATTTTGTTCTCCAGAACATGACACTTACTAATATGATTAATAATAGTCATTTCCATTACCCACAGGGGCAAATTTTTCTGTGGCCCCAACAAGTTAGCTATATTAAAACATAATAATTCAAGAGCAGCACATTTTCTAAAGACTAGGTCATTCAGAATTATAGTATATATAGCAGCATATATACTATTATCAGTACATACAGCCTGCCAGAACCATCGGCCCAGATTGAGCTATATAGCCCGGGGTGATAGGCGTCTTTTGCAGCATTTAGCCCACAATCCCCCATGGACCCTAGCAGCCCTTGCCTGTAGCCCTGGATCATTGCTCAGCCCCCTGACTATAGCCAACTGGACCAAGCAAGGGAACCTGACTCGTGTTGGAACGATCTTATTTTTATGCTTGGAAATTTGGATTTCTCCTTCTGCTTGCTTGAACTAAAAAGATGTAAAGTTAGAGTAGGATATCACCTTTTGGGCACTTACACACTAATAAAAAGGAAAAACTGAGCTGTAGAGATAAACCACAGATGAGTGACAAAGTGACTCTATAACAGCTAAGTGATCGATTGGCTTGATTTTCTTTGTCTGAGATTCCAGGTTCCTATGGAATCCACTAAGGCCCAGCAAACTTCCTGCCCTTGGGAGTCTATGAGATTCTTCTGAATCTTTGTAAATAAGTTCACTCTTTAGCTTACACTAGTTCAAATGATTCTATAATAATATTCAAGATACCAAGGAGCACTGTTGAAGATATCTCCTGTTCAACTCGTCTAAGATATAAAGCCCAATTCCTCCTCTACCATGAAGGGAAGACTGTAATTTCATAGTCTACTAGTAGCAATCATATACAACCAAGTATATAAACAAACTAAACACTTAGCTTCAGATCTAAAACATC